CATGAAAGAGAAAAGTTGATCAAGTTGTCTTGTGATGTCCCTCTTGTTCAGACATAAAATATAATGATGTCTTAGTTTTGAACATACTCAAAAAAAAAAAATAAAAAAATACCTACCTCGGAGTTATGAAGCTGCCAGACTTTTTGCCTTGTTTCTTTTTTCCCTGCTGGCTTCTCCTGATTGTGTGAACATTACCATCTAGTTCTGAATGGAGGTGAAGGCAGTCACAATGGCTTGAGAATTTGCTACATGATGATGAGAACATTTTATGCAATTATAAGAAACATATTTCTTTGTCAATGTTTTTGCAAGAGGAGCACAGAAGATTATCCTGACAACAGGAAAGACCAGTGACAGAAGAATCAGAGACAGTCTGAAAGAAATGGTGCTGGGTGGTTTCAGACAGTGGTATGGAAAAATATCGTCAACAGAATTTATCTAAATCATGGACGGCAACCTGACACAGGTCATGGTGACCTATATCCTGTGTCAATGCACCTAATGATGATGACAATGATGATGTAAATTTATTAAATTTCCGTATATTCAACAGAAATAGCAAACAAACAAAAATGCATCTGGTTTTGGTGTTTTGTTTTCTCCTATGTTTCATTTATTATTCAGAATTATGGTTAATGATTTCCTTGGCTGTAGAAACTAAACTAACAAAATAAGCTTACAGGCTAGTGAATGTGTTTCAGAATTCTCAGTGTACCAGTGTTTTATACTGGGAAATTTAGACAAAGAGAAATAAGATGAAGAATAGGACTGAAAAAAGGAGAAGAAAGAGAGAGGAGTAGAAGAAAAAGGTGAAGAAAAAGAAGAAAACTCATTTCAGCTATAACCATGCAGGATACATAAACCATATTTAAACATGATACACACAAAATGGGGTGGAAAGGGGGGGGGGGAGAGAGAGAGAGACAGTCGCATCAACCATTACCTGAACAATAACAACAGGCTCTGTTTTGACAAAATCAAGAAGCACCATGTTTTGTTAGTGTGCTTGCAGGAAGAAGGAAAAAGACAAATAAGAAGTAGGAAGATAAGGGGAAAAAAATTTGTGGTTAGGACAATAAGTTATTCCCCACTGAACAGCAAAAACAGGAAAAGTAAAGACAAGGGTTCTTTGGTGCAGGGGTCACGAAATATGATCACAGCCCAGGCAAAGGATATGTGAATAATTGTGTAACACAACAACAGTTGATACTTGACTACATTGGCAATGCCTAGCCAGACCACGTGCATGAACTACAATATATCTTGAATCAAGCGACTGAATTATAATCATCACATTGAACATCTGTTAATTTTCCTGAACACAAAACTAAAGTTACTTCTCGCGCTGGACAACCCCTTTTATAACCTCTTGATCCATGAGCTATGCCAGATTTATTCGAAAGCATAGTCAAATCAAAACCCTTGGCAAACGGCTACGACAGTAAACAAAATTACACAGAAGTGAAGAACAGCAGGAAATAAACAAAATAACATTTAAAAAAGGGAGGAAAGAGAATTTATTTAAAATTAAATAAGCAACTTCAATAAACATATCCTAAAATTAAACCGACATCAATCAAACAAAAGCATCAGTGGTTAAACACAAGCTGGTTTCCCACACACAAAATAGCAAACCCTTACAATAATAATTTACTAAACACAATAATGCTACTAAGTACACTCAGATAACTTCTACAATAAATTGTTCAGTGTCAAGCCAGAAACAAAATCAATCTGCTTTTCTTTATTAATTACAAGAAAATACCATCTGTGATGGTAATCCTTACATTTGGTCACATAAACTAATAAATATGGTAATGTATTTTTGTTATGCAGGGCTGTGAGCGTAATACTCTTGTAATTGTCTTGTCCTGATGATTTTTGTTTAGGTTTTTTTCTGTGGAAGTGAAACAGTAACATAGCAGCAAAGTCAAAACATGCAGCATTTGGGTAATCAAGATGGACTCTTTACTGGCCAACATCCTAACCCTAGGGTCAAAATTGATGCTAGGCAGAGTCACTGTTTATAGTCATAGCAAATGTTTAGCTTCTGACAGATAGTGACCGCTGCATTTTCCTCCAACTGTAGACTGAAAGGATGTAATTTTGTTGCCCAGCTAAGTTAAGTAAATGGCACGACACTGTGAGCTGCAGATTTCATTTGGAAGATTTTTCAACTGTGAACAACGTGGTGTTGTGAACTGTAGATTCGGAAAATGCTGCACGGCTTGGTGCCTCAGAATTGCCCCTGTTAATGATGTATTACAATATGGCACGCAATTGCTGATAATAGATTTTGTCGACCAGTCACCTGATTCGTTATTATTGAGGTGTTAGTGTTCTGCATTGCCTTTACCACCCATAGTGCAATATGTTCAGCAACCCGTTTCTCCAGTTGTCGATCAGTTCTGCCCACATATGCAGCGTTACAGGTGCATTTAAATTGGTATATACAGTTAGATCTGGCGTACGTCGACACTGGTTCTTTTACTGGTGGCGTAGGAATCATGGTGGTTTTAAATCCCAAAACAGGCATGGCTGCGTAAAAGGTTTGACCAACTGCTGTTTTGAGTCGGTCATATGCACGTTGCATGACGTCGTCTCCCCGAAACTTTAGATGTATATAAACTTGTTTTCTTGGCACTGACATTTCCAAGGTAACTGGTTTAAGCGGCTGGCAATGGCACTTAATAAAACCACCTGGATATCCATTAGAAAGCAGTGTTTGTTTAATTGTTTCGACCTCAGCTTGTAGCGTGTCGCTGAAACAAACCTTCCTAGCACGGTGGAATAATGTCCTCACTAGACCACGTTTGTATTGCAAAGGTGCAAAACTGTTGAAATGGATGTACTGGCCTGTCCAAGTGTCTTTACGATAAACTGACCTTTCAATAGTGCCATCATCTCTACGTCTAATTAAAATGTCTAAAAAGGCCAAAGTGTTGCTACTTTCATGTTGTAGGGACACTGTGATGTTTTTGTGCATTTGGTTCTTTTTAGTGTGCAGTGACTTTGCCTGTTGTTTGTTTGTGGCGATGATAGGTATGTCATCAACATAACGTCGGTAAAATACTAAACTATCAATATCAATGGACATCTGTTCCTCCAGGTGTGCCATAAAAATATCTGCTAGAATAGGGCCTAGAGGGCTTTCCATGGCCACACTGTCAATCTGGCGGTAAGAGTGTTTTGAAATGGGTAAACCTACCTGCAGATTTTTATTTTCTATACGGTCACATTTAATTTTAATGGTTCCTTCCAAGGGCACATTTGTAAATAGTGATGCCACATACATTGATACCATGTATTTTTGATATACATTCATTATGTGTAATAATTCTGCCAATTCAAATGAATCTCTGAGTATTTTGGGCTCAAATGATTGTCGTACTGGTTTGAGTAATTCCGCTAGCCATTTAGCCAAACCATGTTGAGCTATGTTTATCATCGACAGGATAGGCCTAAGGGGCATACCAGGTCTGTGTACTTTTGGAAGACCATACAACTGCGGTATTAGTGAGCCACATGGTGTGAGCATCTTAGCGGTAGCTTCGCTGATGAATTTTCCTGCCAAGTGCCTTATGTGACTAAAATTGATCGCGTGTGCAACTGTTGATCTGTTTGTAACTGCTCCTTACACAGTGATGAACTTTATTTCTAATGTTGGATTGTTTGTGTTGGCACTTCTGAAGGCTGCCTTATGCTTTTAACGCATGCCTATCCTGGTGGATATGCTGAGACTGCAGACTGTGTCCATTTTTCAACGAGGGACAGTGATGGACATTCTGTGTGCTTTTTGTTGGGTCAGGAGCTGATTAACTATAGGGCGACCGTTTGCTATGAAGTTAAAACTAAGATTACAAGATTACATATCTGAAGTTATGTCAGCAGCAATCTCACTTAATCTCTGCATGACAATGAACAGTAAAATATGCCCACTTCATTCATTCAATGTAAACTTTTAAAATATGTTTTTAAAAATGGCTCTCAGACTAAAACAACTGATCGCATCACCAGAAAGAGGCAGTTAATCTGATTTAGCAAAATTACAAGAAGAAAAACACTGGAACATTTAAGAACTGGACAAATTTACGGAAAATGTATCAGTCTGAACAATACTTCATGAATAGACAGGATTGGTAAGTGTGTATACTTCATGAATAGACAGGATTGATAAGTATATATACTTCATGAATAGTCAGGATTGATAAGTATATATACTTTATAACAGCAAAGTTCTGCAAGAAGATTACACACAGTGGCCTAAGTAGAGATGAGGTCTAGCTAGAAAAATTTAGAGCAAATGTATAATATGTTGTGTGCACGTTCATTTGTTTGGGAGAAACTGAAGGAGATTCTAGATAAGTGCAGCTGTGCTGACAATGTTGCTCATTGATTTATGGAGTCTGGGATATTGTACTGTCAGACATAAAAGTTAGAATAACAAGTTGGAGTCAACCCCACTAGCACCCAGACAACACATTAGACTGATATTAGCCTTGAAATACAAAACAGGATTCTGTCAACAAACATGCAAATCTCATAAGGTAATCATGGCAACGAAGTTTGGAAACACAATGTATAAACAATTTAAATAGTAATATAAGTAAGAAACTACATTCGTACATTCTACACATCATAAATAGTAATCGTAAGGAACAGTGAAGTCTGGAAAGATAACAAATGAACACTTCTTACAATACCATAACTGGGAAACTTCTTTTTCTTCGGTGTCAGCCTTAAAAAGGAGGTTGCCATGTTGTATTGTGGTTTCCAGCTTAGCTGTGACATATGCAGTGTACCTTTTAGCCCAACAGCAAACCTTTCATTAGTCACCTTTTAGAATATGCTTGACAGAAGGGCAGTAAGTCTATTCTTGTCTTCCCTAAAATGTTTTTTTATAGAACCCACATAGTGAGCAATGAAACTATTTAATGCAAATCTTCTAATGTAATCACAGAGAAGAGGGAAGATTGGAAAGTATGCTGGAATTGTTTCAGCTACAACCTGGAAAGTATTTTATCATACCGCATCACCCCTTCCTGGGCCACAGTCACCAGCAGGTTTCCATCGTTGTCCCACATTCTGCCCTGACAAAAAGCACGGCCGTTACCTGAAAATCCAAAAGATCCATCATTACATCATATGCTGCTGTTAAAGGCCAGGCTAGGTATGGGACAGTTAGTACAAAGAGCAGAGATGAGCAGACAAGCCCTAAACAGACACTAAAATGGGAAATAAAGGGTCTGGGGAAGCGGGGACACCCAAAAGAAACCCAGAAATTAATGCTGATACAGGCCAAAAGTGCTGGATTGGATTCCATCCCCAATATGGAAAAGATTGCACAGGAAATGGACGAACATACTGCCAGGCCTTTCTGACATAGAGTGCCAAAAAAGGACAATGATGATGATGATGATGATGATGTTTCTCAAATTTCCGGCAGTAAGATGTACAGTGCAAATAGATAATGTGACCTGTTTTTTTTTCTCGACAAGGATTCATTATGAGCTTTATTAAATATTCATAACTCTTTAGTAGTGCATCTAATGAAATACAGCAAAATATGCCAGGTAATAAATTTGTGCAGTGTATTGTTTGTGCCTGCATTATTGTAATTTGCAACGAGAAACAATTGTTTTCAGTTACTAATTTATCCCTAATTTCAGTTACAGATGTCAAACCCTGATTTCAATAACAAATATAATGTATAACTAATTTCTCACTGATCTCTGTAACAGATTTTAATTAGTTTATCACTGATTTCAGTAACAGATATGAATGTTTAACTAATTTATCACTGATTTTAGTAACAGATATGAATGTATAACTAATTTATCACTGATTTCAGTAACAGATTTGAATTTATAACTAATTTATCACTGATTTCAGTAACAGATATGAATGTATAACTAATTTATCACTGATTTCAGTTACAGATGTGAATGTATAACTAATTTATCACTGATTTCAGTAACAGATGTGAACGTATCTTGTTAACTTACCTAAGTATTGTGTCTCAACTTGGTACAGCAGCCACTGGTCAGCTCGGCAGGGAGCATGGAACCATACAGAGTGATCCAAGGATGTGTGGAAAATGGAAGATGTAGAAGAAATGGGAGCTAAGCAGAGTAAGGCAGTTTGCAGCAGGAAAGAATCAGAAAGATACACTAAACAGCACTTATGGATGTTCTGGTGGAGCTCTTCACCTGAGAAAGATAGAAATGAACAAATAGTTAGTCACCTGTTGTATGTTATTTACAGTAATTTGATTTGTTTTGTACGACAGTTTGTTATTTCTTTCTCTCCAATGTTAGCTCATGTGCAGGTACTGCAAACTACAGTACCAGCTATTGTACCTTGATACTGTGAACTTTAACAGCTCAAGTTTTTGCAGTTGTTTTTCCATGAGAAAGTTACAGTAAAGCAGCACCACCACTTGTTTTAGCCGCAAGCTACCAGTTTCTTTCTTTCATTTTTTTTTCATTCTTTCTTCCTTGTCCAGCATAATTACCAATATCATCAGGACCATCAATAATATCACAGTAATGCTCAGTATTGCCGTAAATTGTCACTATATTCATTCCACAAACGTACCTCATGTGGGTTCCAGGGTCCCGTTATGGCGAAAACAAGAACAGACCCATTCTTCTCCTTCTCCACGTCCTCTTTTACCACTTTGGGCGTGGAGGGAGATATAAGGTCCTGCTTCCTGCTCTTCTAGCTGCCTCAACCATAGACACATCGTGGTGCTGTAGTTTCTCTGTTATCTTCCCATCTTGCTCTACATCCCTCTTCTCTTTTGCTATTTGCCTTGTATGGTATAGCATCAGAAGGCTTTCTCTCCAAGTGGGCAAACCATTTGATTTGCTGTCTTTCACTATAATTTAGAATTAGTTATGTGCCGACTTTATCATGCATGACCTCATTCCTGATTTTATCTCTTCTGGTCTCTCAAACAGTCTTTCTCAGACACCTCATTTACATGATTACTAATTTTGTTTTATGTTTTATTGTGCATAGGACCCATTGCCTACCCGAAAGTATAAAGTAAGAGTCAACTAATTTGGAGCTTCCTTCGAAGTCCAACTGAATCTGTCTGAGAGGTGAAGAACTAACAGTCTGCACACAAATGAGTCAGACCTGTCAAACAGAGGTCAGCAAAAAACCATAACTTTCTGCCAGAGTTGACTGCTGGTGAGTGCGAAGAAGAAGAAGATTCCAAAGATGCACACATACAATCATAGCACAATCTGATATGACACATACAATCATAGCACAATCGGACATGACACATACAATCATAGCACAATCGGATATGACACATACAATCATAGCACAATCGGATATGACACATACAATCATAGCACAATCAGATATGACACATACAATCATAGCACAATCGGATATGACACATACAATCATAGCACAATCAGATATGACACATACAATCATAGCACAACCGGATATGACACATACAATCATAGCACAATCAGATATGACACATACAATCATAGCACAATCGGATATGACACATACAATCATAGCACAATCAGATATGACACATACAATCATAGCACAATCGGATATGACACATACAATCATAGCACAATCGGATATGACACATACAATCATAGCACAATCGGATATGACACATACAATCATAGCACAATCGGATATGACACATACAATCATAGCACAATCAGATATGACACATACAATCATAGCACAATCAGATATGACACATACAACCATAGCACAATCGGATATGACACATACAATCATAGCACAATCAGATATGACACATACAATCATAGCACAATTGGATATGACACATACAATCATAGCACAATCGGATATGACACATACAATCATAGCACAATCGGATATGACACATACAATCATAGCACAATCGGATATGACACATACAATCATAGCACAATCGGATATGACACATACAATCATAGCACAATCGGATATGACACATACAATCATAGCACAATCGGATATGACACATACAATCATAGCACAATCGGATATGACACATACAATCATAGCACAATCGGATATGACACATACAATCATAGCACAATCAGATATGACACATACAATCATAGCACAATCAGATATGACACATACAATCATAGCACAATCAGATATGACACATACATTGCCATATACAATCACAACACACAAACATTTAGGACATACCAGGTTTCCCCAAAAATAAAATCAGATCTTATATTAATTTTGCTTCGAAAAATGCATGAGGACTTATTTTCATGGCATGTCTTATTTTTTCAGATACACAAATCTACATTTATTCATGCATACAATTTTACATTAATTCAGAAACAATCATACTATATTCTGGAACATCACCATGACCCTCTTAATCCAGAATTTTGGCCTGAATTTTTTGTGACTCCACTTCCTGTAGAACCATTAGCACCAGTCTCTCATTCCAGTTTACGATCTTACCCAATGCTTATTTTTGGGGTACAGCTTAAATTAAACGCTGAAAAGTTTTTCTAGATCTTATTTCTGTGGTCAGTCATATTTTGGGGAGAAACATGGTATTAACTGCCACATGCATTTGTGATGGGAGCCATGGTAGTGTGGTGGCTAGAGGTTCATCTGTCAGCCTGAGGGTCTCGAGTGAGGTGGGGTTTTTTTTTTGTTTGTATTTTTTAAACTGACCATGGCTTCAGGGTCAATCAAACTTAAAATTATCAAATGAGTACCAGGTAGTGTCCTGGGAAATAAAGGTGGTTGGCAGGATGCTAGTGTACTTACACTAAGAAGGCAATGACGTCTGAACACAGACTGTTGAAGCATTGTTGTGTATTTAGTGAAGTAGCTGCAAGATTCAAACTATCATTCATGATCGCCAAAGCAACATTTCCCTGTTTTGAATTTCAACAAAAAAGTCAAAACAATAGATTGCACAATTTATTGCCTGGTATATTTCGCTGTATCTGGGTGCATACTGCAGTAACAATTTATTAAATTAAAGCAAAGAAATCCAACCTTTTAAATGAAATGCAAAATGAACTACATTTAAAAGTAACTGCCTATTCTACGAGGCAAACACACTGTAGAATGTTACTGTGAGTTCTTACTGTAGTATGCATCTGATGCGATACAGTGAAATATACTGCCCAATCTATTGTTTGTATTTTCTTTGTTTAAAATCACAATTGTAAAAAAGAAAAAAACTGCTTTGGTTTTCTAAAATGTGCTTTCATTCCCCCCATACTTTACTCTACAAGGAAATCTGTATCATATACACTCACATATAAAATCATTACAATGACATGATGACACACAGACTCCAACAGAAAATTATAACATAATGACATACAAGTCAAGATTACCTATGTGCTCTTTAATTTTAAGCCACAGATGTCTCCTGGGATAGCTGGATTCCTTCAGAAGCAGCTGCTCCGGCTCGACCAACTTGGTGATGGCAGGAAACGCATCGTACCAAGCTGTACCATAGGAATAGTCTATCTCAGAAATACGCTTTTGCCTGTTGACAGACAAGACAATCTGAATATAGCGTTGTAAGATTTTCATGGAATAAATCTTCATATATACTATGTCACAACATTAAGGTGTGAAGTGACCAACTCTAAAAACCTCTTATATTTATTCTATGATACTAGTGCCCTAGCCACCCAGAATCAGTCAAAACAATCCCTTCTAAATAGGCAGACAATACAGTAATAAATGCAAAGAATGAACAGGTTCTGCAGCCTTTAGTGGTTGCAGTAATCGAACACAGTGAACTACTTAAACTTTAAGAAAACACAAAACTCAGTCATCATCAAGATGGAACAAATATCACAATGTAACGTCCATATAAAAAGTAAAAAAAACTTTTTCTTCTTTGTATCTTTTTCCAGGACTTTAGTGTTGCAGCAAATCCATTTTAAAGATCTGGCTTATCTGCATTGTATTGGTTCCTAGCCTAACAGGCAAATGCACACCAGCTTTGAAGGAAAAATTTATCCTATCTAAACTGGCCAGGTTCTCAATTATCTCAGTCGGCTGCAGCCACTTTCCAACATGTTTTAGTAGTTCTCTATAATTTCAGATTGTTTAACCAAGATTAAATAATCAAATCAGGGTGTTGTATGTACCACTGTGCTCACCATTCGCACGGATATTTGGAGCAGTTATTTATATCTAAATGTACATGACTGTGTTTGTTTTAATTGTGGATTTCCAATGCAGACATGACAGTAGAAAAGACTTTGAAAAACAAACACCCAATGTCAATGAACTCAATTTATCCATGTGTAGCTATTGTAAACATAAATTAGGCCAATCACAGCGAAGGTGGTCAGCTTGGGTTTTGTTCACGTGGCTAGTGAAGCGGAACAATGTCCCTGACTCAGCAATGATGACCAACCTACGCACCTCAACACTAGCCTAGCGCAAGCAACCAGAGAATTGTAAAAACAAGGTGGGCAAGATCTCTGTGTAACACCTACATCTCCCGCAATCGTCGGAAAAAAATTAAACACATCCACTGTTTCAGCAGACAGTGTTCGGCTATCCTCTGAATAACAGCCACATATTATGGCGGCCACAAAAACACCCTAACAGGGCCTCAGTCACATGTAAATTGCGGACTTCCGGTGACTACCACTACCGCCGAGAGTATCTTCCATGCCGTTACGTGCAGCATGGATTGGGGCTAAACTAGATGGCTGGGACTCACGAGCAGCAGCTTCCATATCTCCTGCAGCTTTGCTCGTGAGTCCCAGCCATCTAGTTTAGCCCCAATCCCCGCCACACATAGCGGCGTGGGAGATACTCTCGGCGGTGGTGGTATAGTCCCCGAAAGTCCAAAATTTACATGTGACTGGGGCCCTGTTTTTGGCCGCCATAATATGTGGCCGTTATTCGGAGGATAGCCCAATGTTCTGCTATCTAACCATTTTGCCAGTCACTCACCATCAAGGAAACAAAGTGACTGCACTGAACTAAACAATTTTAAACATTCACAAAAATTCTCAATGGACAGACAGAGGACAGACTTAAACTACTTATTTCATCAAGCTCTTTATATATTATTTCCCAGTTTAAGGAGGAAAATGTGTCACAAAAAGTTCTGAAACAAGACTAAATTCCAGAAGTGAACAAACAACTAGAACTTTCTGCTGAAGTATGCAGATGGTGACAGTGAAGAAAAACAGTTGCTAATCCAAGTTAAGGCGTGGTCTACCCTTACATAATATTTGGTTTTCAGGTTGCATTTTTGGGTTAGCTAATGTACACGACAATTCTGGTTCTATTTTCAGCCACAGTAATCTAATGGGTCACAAAAATCTGGTACTCACACATGAAGTCTGTCTAGCATTTCTGTCATAGTCTGCAGCCCATCGGGGTGAGGTACCTTCAGAATGGAGAACATGTTAAATTGTTATTTCACTGACACTAAGGGGTGGAATGCAATGGCACTGAACCACACAAGGTGGTCACCAAGGCTTATAATGTTGAAGTTATATTCATGTCTTTTGGCTGCCATCTTAAAAACAGGTTCCCAACTGTAAACCTGGTCGATATATAGAGGATCGGTGTTTATTTCAAAGTTGGGAGTGCATCTGCCTCAGAGGTGAAGAAGCAGTAGTTTGCACATTTAAAAAAAAAAAATTTTTAAATAGATATGCATGCAATATCAAAGTCCAGAAACAAGACCAAAGCACAGAAGTGGCAATCCACTAGGGTTTACAACCAGTAAACTCTAAGAATAACAATACTCACAATATCACAATTATATTGTTCTCTGTCTTCCCCATCGGAAACTTAGTCTGCAGAAGCAGACACTGGCAATCCCTGCCTTTCCCTCCCCTTTAGGATCGGTTACTTTGTTGAATTTTATTATCTTTATATTATTATTTGATGTCTGGCTTTCTAAGATTTCTGCAAAGATCTTTTTTTTTGTGTGTCTTTCTCTGTCTCTTTTCTCTGATATTTTTAATATTCTTCTCTGAAAAATCCACCTCTCTGCTGCTTCTTCCCCATTTGACTACTTACTGTCTAGTAACTTCTTCATCTAGTAGAAAAAAGTGCACACAATTTTCAGTAAGTGGACTGTTTCACTAGCCTTTTTTTAAAATTTGCATTTTGTTGTAATGACAAGGTTCATTAAAAAAAAAAAAAAGTGGACAAGGTGTTTCTTTTCTTTATCTCTGTGCTAGATTTTCCATCAGATGTCAATGTGTAGCTAGATCTTCCATCAGATGTCAATGTGTAGCTAGATCTTCCATCAGATGTCAATGTGTAGCTATATCTTCCATCAGATGTCAATGTGTAGCTATATCTTCCATCAGATGTCAATGTGTAGCTATATCTTCCATCAGATGTCAATGTGTAGCTAGATCTTCCATCAAATGTCAATGTATAGCTAGATCTTCCATCAGATGTCAATGTGTAGCTATATCTTCCATCAGATGTCAATGTGTAGCTAGATCTTCCATCAGATGTCAATGTGTAGCTAGATCTTCCATCAGGTGTCAATGTGTAGCTAGATCTTCCATCAGATGTCAATGTGTAGCTAGATCTTCCATCACATGTCAATGTGTAGCTAGATCTTCCATCAGATGTCAATGTGTAGGTAGATCTTCCATCAGATGTCAATGTGTAGCTAGATCTTCCATCAGATGTCAATGTGTAGCTAGATCTTTCATCAGATGTCAATGTGTAGCTAGATCTTTCATCAGATGTCAATGTGTAGCTTAGTTGAAGAATATGACTGATCTGTTAATATTTTTACAGCTTTACTATATACACAGAAAACAGAAATGTGTGCCACAATGCATTCAGTTGTTGTTTTTTATTTTTTATTTAGACAATATTAATGTAAACAAACTCACAAACAATGCCATTTTTCTTCTTTGCTTTTGTGTCTGTACTGTGTAACAACAGTTTTCAAAAAAAATTGTGAGTATAAAAATTAATGGGAACAAAACTATAGAAGTCTGCAAGATAAAAGGTTAGAGAAAAACAAACCTCTGGCATTGGCAGTTGATGAACTGTGCTAGTTGTCTCCTCTTGCTTGAAGGATACCTGCATTGTAAAAACTACTGCTCCAGACTGTACTGCCTTCACGGAACGAGCACAATATGTCTTCCCATCTCGGATTTTCTCAACATGGTACAGTAGAGAAATATTATCTTGGACTGAGTTAAACAAGAAATGAGATGAAGTACATGACAAAGGCTCCCACTCAGTTTACAATAAACATGAAAGAAACAGGTGAAGTTTAAACTAAAGTATCCTTCTTCTTCTTTTGTCCTGCTTCTTGTAGCATAGAGTGTTGCAGAGATGAGTCATATGTTGTTTCTTTTGCAAGTTGGTTAGCGTGTGTTATGTCATTTTTGTTTCTGAAATATCTCTTTTACTCCCTCCACCCACGCTTTCTTGGTCAGCCTCTTGCCTTGTAGCCTGCACTTCTCATGTAGTATGCTCTAGCTGATTTTGTTGCATTCTGACCAAACCATATGATTCGTTGATGTTCTATTCAATCATTCACCGCTACTATGCCTGACACTGTTCATAGTTCTTCAGTGGGGACTTTTCTTGTTTTTCCTGCCACATTTCTTATACATGTCAACTCACATGTTGTCATTTTGTGTTTGTGTTTTTCTAGGATTGTCCGTGTCCATTTACCACTTTTTATGTTGGTGTATGAGAGAGGGAGATCCTGAGCCTGAGGATTTAGGGCTGCATGGCTGGAGCTCTCACTAACAAGCGGGTAGTTTAGGATGTAACTTTTGCCCCCTGAAAGAAAAACATTCATTATCTCACCGAGGATTCTAACTGGGGTCTTCTCAATGAGAATCCAACATTCTTAACCACTCAGCTAGTCTTTCCTGCAACATAGTGTCCAAGAGTAAGAAATGCAAACTATATAGTCCAGTTTATTTTAACAAGTAAAATACAAGTGGATTGTTTTCTACTGGTTAAAAAGAAAAAGTACAGAAAGTAAGAAAACAAACACTACAGATCAGATGAGGTAAGCAATACATTGTGCCAGGGCTATTCAACCAAGTTTGCCTAAGGGCCAACCTTTTTTAAATAGTGATCGTCACAGGCCGGAGGCCTCAGCCTAAGCATAGAAAGATCATTAATCCAATACAACTGGCAATGATTTGCGGGCCTGATTTAGCAAATTGGCCACCAGTTGAATAGCCCTGCACCACGCCATGTTTACCTGTCAACACAGTCCATGAGAGAATAGGAAGTCTGACATCACACAAGCTACACAAATATGTCAGAAGAGGCAACTAAAGACAGTTTTTTGTCTCACCATAGACTCACTGAACTCGCAAATATTTGACTACAAAAATATCACTGTTTTACTTCTCTAATACAGTGGTCTCCAACTTGAAGGCGTAAAAGGGGAGTGGGGGGGGGGGGGGGGGGGGGGGTGAAGAGGATTCAAGAAGAGCCTCACACAATTTTGAAACATTTGTAATAATCCGATATATTATTTGTTTGCATGATGCTGCAGAACCAACCCTAGCATTATTTTTGGTTGCTGTGGTTTTTCTAGACAAATTTACATTCAGTAGTTCACCACTGCTTCTGAATGGTCGACTGTCGATACCACTGTTAAAACCGGCACAAGGCGGTCTGCTGCTAAACTTCCTGAAGCTGTGATCAAACCTGGTAGGGTTGGCATTTCAAAGCGCATTTGCAATGCCTAGGCCACAGACGTCGACACATTTCTAAACGAAACTTCGAATTATAAATACGCAACAGGGTGGAAGAGGAAACACTGAATGTTATTAACTCCGAGCTAATCTAACCCGCACCTTTGTTCAGGAAATATGAATGCAGGCTGTGTGTATGCTGACTGTCTGGAACCCCTTGAGATGCTGCAGCAAGGGCCTGACCAATCACGTGACCTCCATAAATACCACGTGCTGCTTTGTGTTTCCATAAAGGTTGACTTCTGCAGATACACAGCAATAGCAAAGATCTATTTTTAAATGTCCTTATTCAAGGTTCCAACATACCAGAACAATGGCCACCACCTATAACTGCTTTGTTTCTGTGCCAGTAAAAAGCACATGAAATAAACGTCACAAACTCATTTAAAAACTATTTAAAAGAGCAGTTCTGGCAAAATCCAACAGCTCGCACATGAAATAAACGTCACAATCTCATTAGAAAACTACTGAAAAGATCAGTAGCTCGCACATGAAGTAAATGCATATTCAATAACAACCTAATTTTTAACATCTGTTGCAATGGGAATTCAAACCTATACCACAGATAGGTAAGCAAGCATAATGGATGCTGCTCTATCATGGCTTCCTTAACAGAAAATACATGTTTTCGTATTTTTTTAAAAACTTTAATGTAAGTAAAAAAAATATAAAAAATTAGGGAAACTAATTATATAAAGGGCAGGGGCCGACCAACAGGAAGATGGGCGCAGGATATACGTGACTCTTTGAGTATGAAAGTACATGAGGTGGGAGAGCTGGCTAGAGACAGAGTTTTTTTTCAGGCAAACCGTGATGAGAGTGATGTTCTGCTAAGAACCTGCTACATGATGATGATGAGTATATAACAGACATCATGTAACAAGTCCGGTGGAGACAATCGCTCTCATCAAGGCAAGCAAGACAGGCTGATTGCTTACTTTCCTATCTCATGACCAAGTTTTTACAATTTATTGCCTGGTACATAACCCTGGTACATAACCTTGTCGAAGCTGGACTTTTAAAAAAAAAAGGTCAACTTAACTAAGTATTTGGTAAATAGCAGTAAAGAATTTAAAATATTCTACTAGAAATATAGCTAAATAAGATTCTACTGTATTTGGTAAATAATAGTAAAGAATTTAAAATATTCTACTAGAAGTATAACTAAATAAGATTCTACAGTATTTGGTAAATAGTAGTAAAGAATTTAAAATATTCTACTAGAAGCAAATCTAAACAAGACTAAAGTATTTGGTAAATAGTAGTTATAATTAAAAGTACTCTACTAGAAGTAAAACTAAATAAGACTGTAAAGTATTTGTAAAGAATTTAAACTGCTCTAATAGAAGTAGATATATGCTTGAAGGCACGGAAAATAGTCGTTTACTGTTTAAATAACCTTGTATCTATCTGATCAGATGCCTACTACAGAATTAAATAGGATGAAGCAAGGGCAGGAACCCTTCCTGTATTGTGTAACCTCTTGCATGAGACTGTTCCATTTACAATGGAGAAACATTGCTTAAATTGAAAAATGTCAAGAATGAAGGTGGTCAGCGCAAGGTGAACAAAACAAAATGAAAGAAAATCATTACATAAATGATTATACTTTTTGAAATATCAACAAATGATGAATTAAGAATCAACATGAAGGCACTCCGGACACTCCCATAGGCCCTCTATCCCAATCTTCAGCAGCAAGCTAAGAGTTCCAATTCTGATGGTACCAGTAACAGTGAGATATTAACGTTCCAATTCTAATGGTATCAGTAACAGTGAGATATCAACATTCCAATTCTAATGGTGTCAGTAACAGTGAGATATCAACATTCCAATTCTAATGGTACCAGTAACAGTGAGATATCAACATTCCAATTCTAATGGTGTCAGTAACAGTGAGATATCAACATTCCAATTCTAATGGTATCAGTAACAGTGAGATATCAACGTTCCAATTCTAATGGTATCAGTAACAGTGAGATATCAACATTCCAATTCTGATGGTACCAGTAACAGTGAGATATCAACATTCCAATTCTAATGGTGCCAGTAACAGTGAGATATCAACATTCCAACTCTGATGGTACCAGTAACAGTGAGATATCAACATTCCAATTCTAATGGTACCAGTAACAGTGAGATATCAACGTTCCAATTCTAATGGTACCAGTAACAGTGAGATATCAACATTCCAATTCTAATGGTACCAGTAACAGTGAGATATCAACGTTCCAATTCTAATGGTACCAGTAACAGTGAGATATCAACATTCCAATTCTAATGGTATCAGTAACAGTGAGATATCAACATTCCAATTCTAATGGTATCAGTAACAGTGAGATATCAACGTTCCAATTCTAATGGTATCAGTAACAGTGAGATATCAACATTCCAATTCTAATGGTACCAGTAACAGTGAGATATCAACATTCCAATTCTAATGGTATCAGTAACAGTGAGATATCAACATTCCAATTCTAATGGTATCAGTAACAGTGAGATATCAAAAGTCATAATTATATATACATCTAGGGGCATTGCCACACAAAAACTGGGAGGGGAATGGCTTCGGCCCACTTATACTTTTCTAGGGACTTAAGCCTTGTTTAAGGGTGCAAAAAGCACTATATGATGAATGGCAAATAAATATAATAATACACAATGTGTAAATAAATACTTCAAACAATAACACTATAAATGATTTGTGGTGTGGGGCGGGCTTCAGTCTTCCTTCCCTCTAAAATAAGGTGCCTGAGTTTATGTACCTGGTAAATATCTATTCTCTGAAATTACCCAAATGTATACTTTATATCCTAATTATACAGCCGGATATTATTTGTTAAAATACTATAAAAAATTATACTTGAAGTTCCCAGTGTAGGTTCCAGGTCATATTTGAAGGGGGAAGGAGGTGGGGGGGGGGGGGTAGAAAATGACCTACTGTTCCCTAACAGGCAAATCCTGAAGGGTGACTAATGAGGGGTGTTTCCTGTGGAGTGGAGTCCATCAGTCTCTAGTGCAAGAAGCCAACAATCTGCACATAAATAAACAAGATCAGTAAAATGGATGTGCATGCAAAACACAGGTTCTGGAACAAGATCAAAATCCAGAAGCAAGAACAACAGAAATATCCACAGGAGTTTACAGCCAGTGAATGTGAAGAAAAAGACGCTTGGAATTCATCTAAACATTATGAGAATAAAACAACTCCAGCTTTCAATTTATATTACACATCACAATTGTGGAGTTATTAATTAAATCTATCAACAGCTGTAAATGAATAAATATATTATAATATATATTCATCATAATCCTTTGTGTGCTGTTAGACGTCCCATAGGGCTCATATTTGATTCCTCCACTTCGCCCAGCTCTCTAGCGTAGTTGGCTGAACCGGATTTTGCGGTGACCAGGTGACGAACTCCTTGTGGTCTGGGTTCACTCCTGGGGGTAGGCACACAAAAAAGCCACATTTCTCCCAGATTTACGGTATTTAAAATGGAATCAAGGCCGAAAGGTTGCGATATCCATAATACCGAGCCTAAGGGTTAACAACTCATGGCTTCTGGATACAATAACAAACAATTCCTCCACTTCGCTCTACTGCAGGCAACTTTCTCTATTTCTGCCATGGAGTTCAGCCCAACATTTTTGCCTTTTGTAATAATGTTGTTCCTAATGTTTCCCTTGGACGTCCTCTTGTTCTCAGACTGTTTGTTTACCTTTTTAGAGCTTGTTTTGTAATTCTTTGCTTATTTCGTCTCAGAGTATGCCCAATATATCTTCACCTTCTTCGACTTACTGCAGTCGATACAAGTGTTTGTCCAGACATTTCTCTGATCTTACTCCCTTTTTTTTTTTATTCACCCTATTTTATGTTCATTATTTTTTTTTTCAGCTATTTATTTTCAAATGTATTTAACTTCGGTTCTATATCTTTGGTGGTTCTCACTGGTTTATTTTATCATTGAAATAACTTTACAATTGAAGATTCGTAGTTTGGTCTTAAAGCTGTATCCCAAACATGTTAGTAATATTGTTGATATATATTAGATTACTAACAACAAAACAAAAACAAACAGAAATAATTTTTTTTTTTTTTAATATATATCCAAACAAAAGCAAAGCTACTGTAAAGATATATTAGTCTTACTATTTATTACCGAAACAAAGTGTCGTTAATCTTTTCTAAATTAACAACTGATCTCAATACAGAACTGTCAATATGGGCTGAAAAGTTGTTGCGTCCGTTTCTAGTCGACATAACTGACTATCTCAGACTATCTGCTGTTAAATGTGGAGGCGAAAGTGTAGACATACTAGAGTGGGAGTGGGCGGAAATGAGGAGTGGTGTCCATATGTCGACAAACAGAGCTCATTAGGTAGGGGATTGCGGCTTACTGTCGGCAAGGAGCAATGCTAACAATGTTATTATGGCTCAAGGTACACAGCAGGGGCAGTCTTTATGAAAATGACTATCCATCTGTTTTTTATACACAATAAAATCTTGTGATAAGCTATGTTAATAGATCAATACATTTGTTTTCGCCCCTTGTATTGTTTCTCTTTCCATCACATCAAGGGTTGCAGAAGGTCAAAGTTTAAATGTCAAAGTTCTAAAAACTAAACTTGCCATCTAGGAGAGCTCTGTTTGAAGTTTGACCCCGACAATATTTCCGTTTTCAAGATGGCGACAAAAACTCGACTTCGGCGGACACAAAGTACAAACAAAGCCGAAGAAACGCAACAGATTGAACGGAAAGAAAAATTATTGGGTGCAGATAAACCGTAAGTAAACGCGCCTTTACTTACACTTGAAAACTGATGTTGGCTTTAGGTAATAACGAATATTTTACATATCAGAGTTAGGAATATATCAGCGTCAAGTGTAGTTACGATGTTTTCATTGTTACTTCCCTTGATGGGACAATCCTTGACACTTTGACCTTTGACCTGTCACCCTAACAACCCTCCCCCATGCCCGAGTAAAGCCAGACCAGGTGAGATACCTGGGGTAAACAAAGTTGACAGGTGAGTTTGTTGACGACTTCGCAGGGCATGATTGGCTGGCTGATAAGGAGCCGCGAGACGGTGTGTGGGCTAGAAATCTGTGGTGACTGTTGTGAGCCGCCTTTCTTTAAATGTAGAAGATTATGTTTTATTGAGATCACGGAGGCAACCACAGTCAATCAGTCCTTCAAGGCTACAGTCAGAATAATTATTACTGTTTGTGTATGTTAATCAGTGCCCTTCCATTCTGGGATGTAGTAATTAATTATAATGTAGTTAGTACCATGTGTATATATATATATATATATATATATATATATATATATATATATATATATAGTTAAAATTGATTGTTTTAAAGTTAGCGCATGTCATGTACATGGCATTGCAAAACCAAAACCCGGCATTTTGTATTTGGCTGTTTGTATTTCACCAGGCAGTTTTATGTTTAATAGTTTGCCGTTGCTTACACTGAACATTCACCTGTCAGAACCACTGTTGAAATCAACACAGGACAGTCAGTCTGCTGGCAGATAGCCCTCAGCTGGGATACAACCGGCACAATGGAATTACAAAACTAGTTAGCAAGGCCTACACCACATACACAGACATAATTGTTGTACACCCTCGGTATTGTATTCCTGTGAGACCAGGACAGTCAGGAGACATTCTAAGGTGCATCTAAAGTGATTGTGTAATGATGGGGTTTTACTGTGTAAGGATATCAAGTGTACAGTTTATTTTGTATTGGCTGTGTGATTGTTGAAGGCCATGTTGGATGACAAGAAACATGGCAAGTTCACCAACAGTTCTACGCAAATGCAAAAAAAGAAACGGTGTAATTCTGTGGCAGCATCAAAGAATTCTGATGCAGATTCAGTTCCTGTGTGTAGAAAGGTGCATAGAGAATGTGAGCATAAAAAGCCTTTAAATAATAATGGTGATTATCTAAAGTACCGATGTATCCTGTATGAAAAGCTGTGGTCACTTCTACCTGATTGGCTACATGAACCTGAATATATGGTTTATGCAAAACCTCAACAGAAATCTGATAAAAACATGTAAGTTAAGTTTAGAAAGTAAATAAAATTAACATTGAAGCAGTTGAATTGTGTATTAAACATTTCAGAATCATCTATTAACTCTTTTAATCATTTTTCAGAGGTAATGGTAATTACACACATGAAAATGTTTTCCAGGATACCACACTAAAGAATATATAATGAACTTAAAACAAGTCAAAATGTTTCAATCCTTGATAACATCAGATGAAAATTGTAATAAAGATCTGAAGTTTAAAGTAGCTGAAGAAAAAAATGCAGCATTTCACAAAATGAAAAAAATGTTTTCTGTGATTTGTTTTTGTGAGTTGATGTGTGAAATATAGTTAAGATCTGGATAGAGCCAGCCCTGATACACTGAAGCCAGTTAGTATAAATGTTGCGCTGAAGTTGCAGAGAAATTGAGTTGACTCAAGTCAAGAATTGACATCACAGCACTCAGAACATTCCCATGTGTGCTCAGTCCTCATCATCAGCAGCAAGCGCAGAGTTCCAATACTGATGGTACCTGTAGTTATCTGATTATATGTCCGTCTTGCCTTTCCCCGCAGTGTAGTGAGCCATCCAGACTCCTGGTTACACCCAGGTGCCTCATTCTCTCAGGCCGTAATAATCTTGTTTCGCTTCTTACTCTGTTGCTTATTCCCAAAGATCACTGACCACATCTGCCTCATTTATCAGTTCACCACCCATTGGTGCAGATCCAGCCAATCTGTCGGCCTGTTGATTCTTCACCACACCAGCATAGCCTGTAGAAAAGATCCAGAGTGTGTTCATTACCCGTGACCTTTGCAGTGAAGCTTGCCACTCTGCTCGAAGCATCCCTGTCTTTACCTTTCTCAGCATGCCTTTAGTCTGTTACAAATATGACATGTGCATGCATCTTGTTCTCTAGCCACCAGAAAGCTGCAGTTACTGCCTCCATCTCCATTCTCATGCTAGACGTTGTGGTATCATACCCTAGGCTGTCCTGTACTAAAGATTTTCCATTGACTTTTTTTAAAATAGTTCTCCAGTTGGACAGTGAGGACATTTTGTGTGTGATGTCAACTGGCACATGAGCTGAGCAGTTTTGGATGTAGCCAGCCCATCTGTAGTGAAGCTGGAACCTCAACTAACACGTGACAAAAGACAGGACAGACATGACGATTAACACAACATTCATGGTTGTCAAGGTCTGGTTGAAAACCTGAACTACGTCATGCTTTCAAAAGCCAGTTGGACCTTTTTTCCAGTTCACATAGCTTATCTGGGCACATTCTGAGAGACTGCACTTAGCAGAGTCATCAAACAGGCACTCGTTTGAAATCAAATGGACTGAAGAAGTGCTGATGGAACTTTAAAATTGTTGGCCGAGGCTCTGTATGCACAAGGCAAACAAGATTTTTTTTTCTGCTGCTGTCATGAGGCCATTGTCATCAGTGCTTGTGGATTTGGTAGTATTTGCATTTTTTTAATGTACCAATTTCTTCTTAATGTTCATTTGCTGTAAACTCTGGCAGAAGAATCTAACTTTGGTCTTGTTTTACATGCACCTCCATTCTACAGGTCGAGCTTATTTGTTCAGATAAAACACCCCTGATTAGTCCACTTTAAAGACATGTTTTGGGGGGAGGGAGGGGGTGGCAGTGGGTCTGTTATTGTTTCGTACAAAAATGGGGCTCCCGAACCCACATGGGGAAATGTACCAGTTTGACTTTAACTCACTGTGCCAGCAATAGATGTTTGTCTTGAACTTTTGTTCTTCATGTTGTGTTTGAAATGTCTCATACTTCTCTTCCTTTTAAGTCTACACTGTACCTACTAACATTTTCAAATTTTTTTTCTGGTTATTTTCTAACTATGATTTTATTTATTCTCAGCGTCCACAGTGCTACAGACTCACTGTTCAGCACCAGTAGTGGTTTTACTAACTATTATGGTATCCTAAATCTGTGTCTTATATTACTGGTAAGTTGGTATGATACTTTTGTGTTAGTTAACTTTTATCTTATATTACTGGTAGGTAGGTGTCATAGTTTTGTGTTATTTAACCTTTATCTTATATTACTGGTAGGTAGGTGTCATAGTTTTGTGTTATTTAACCTTTATCTTATGTTACTGGTAGGTAGGTGTCATAGTTTTGTGTTATTTAACCTTTATCTTATGTTACTGGTAGGTAGGTGTCATAGTTTTGTGTTATTTAACCTTTATCTTATGTTACTGGTAGGTAAGTGTCACAGTTTTGTGTTATTTAACCTTTATCTTATATTACTGGTAGGTAAGTGTCATAGTTTTGTGTTATTTAACCTTTATCTTAAATTACTGGTGGGTAGGTGTCATAGTTTTGTGTTATTTAACCTTTATCTTATATAACTAGTGGGTAGGTGTCATAGTTTTGTGTTATTTAACCTTTATCTTATATTACTGGTAGGTAGGTGTCATAGTTTTGTGTTATTTAACCTTTATCTTATGTTACTGGTAGGTAGGTGTCATAGTTTTGTGTTATTTAACCTTTATCTTATGTTACTGGTAGGTAGGTGTCATAGTTTTGTGTTATTTAACCTTTATCTTATGATACTGGTAGGTAGGTGTCATAGTTTTGTGTTATTTAACTTTTATCTTATGATACTGGTAGGTAGGTGTCATAGTTTTGTGTTATTTAACTTTTATCTTATGATACTGGTAGGTAGGTGTCATAGTTTTGTGTTATTTAACCTTTATCTTATGTTACTGGTAGGTAGGTGTCATAGTTTTGTGTTATTTAACCTTTATCTTATGTTACTGGTAGGTAGGTGTCATAGTTTTGTGTTATTTAACCTTTATCTTATGATACTGGTAGGTAGGTGTCATAGTTTTGTGTTATTTAACTTTTATCTTATGATACTGGTAGGTAGGTGTCATAGTTTTGTGTTATTTAACTTTTATCTTATGATACTGGTAGGTAGGTGTCATAGTTTTGTGTTATTTAACTTTTATCTTATGATACTGGTAGGTAGGTGTCATAGTTTTGTGTTATTTAACTTTTATCTTATGATACTGGTAGGTAGGTGTCATAGTTTTGTGTTATTTAACCTTTATCTTATGTTACTGGTAGGTAGGTGTCATAGTTTTGTGTTATTTAACCTTTATCTTATGTTACTGGTAGGTAGGTGTTATAGTTTTGTGTTATATAACCGTTATCTTATGTTACTGGTAGGTAGGTGTCATAGTTTTGTGTTATTTAACCTTTATCTTATGTTACTGGTAGGTAGGTGTCATAGTTTTGTGTTACTAACCTTTATCTTATGTTACTGGTAGGTAGGTGTCATAGTTTTGTGTTATTTAACCTTTATCTTATGTTACTGGTAGGTAGGTGTCATAGTTTTGTGTTATTTAACCTTTATCTTATGTTACTGGTAGGTAGGTGTTATAGTTTTGTGTTATATAACCGTTATCTTATGTTACTGGTAGGTAGGTGTCATAGTTTTGTGTTATTTAACCTTTATCTTATGTTACTGGTAGGTAGGTGTCATAGTTTTGTGTTACTAACCTTTATCTTATGTTACTGGTAGGTAGGTGTCATAGTTTTGTGTTATTTAACCTTGATCTTATGTTACTGGTAGGTAGGTGTCATAGGTTTGTGTTATTTAACCTTTATCTTATGATACTGGTAGGTAGGTGTCATAGTTTTGTGTTATTTAACTTTTATCTTATGATACTGGTAAGTAGGTGTCATAGTTTTGTGTTATTTAACCTTTATCTTATGTTACTGGTAGGTAGGTGTTATAGTTTTGTGTTATTTAACCTTTATCTTATGTTACTGGTAGGTAGGTGTCATAGTTTTGTGTTATTTAACCTTTATCTTATGTTACTGGTAGGTAGGTGTTATAGTTTTGTGTTATATAACCGTTATCTTATGTTACTGGTAGGTAGGTGTCATAGTTTTGTGTTATTTAACCTTTATCTTATGTTACTGGTAGGTAGGTGTCATAGTTTTGTGTTATTTAACCTTTATCTTATGTTACTGGTAGGTAGGTGTCATAGTTTTGTGTTATTTAACCTTTATCTTATGTTACTGGTAGGTAGGTGTTATAGTTTTGTGTTATATAACCGTTATCTTATGTTACTGGTAGGTAGGTGTCATAGTTTTGTGTTATTTAACCTTTATCTTATGTTACTGGTAGGTAGGTGTCATAGTTTTGTGTTACTAACCTTTATCTTATGTTACTGGTAGGTAGGTGTCATAGTTTTGTGTTATTTAACCTTGATCTTATGTTACTGGTAGGTAGGTGTCATAGGTTTGTGTTATTTAACCTTTATCTTATGATACTGGTAGGTAGGTGTCATAGTTTTGTGTTATTTAACTTTTATCTTATGATACTGGTAGGTAGGTGTCATAGTTTTGTGTTATTTAACCTTTATCTTATGATACTGGTAGGTAGGTGTCATAGTTTTGTGTTATTTAACTTTTATCTTATGATACTGGTAGGTAGGTGTCATAGTTTTGTGTTATTTAACCTTTATCTTATGTTACTGGTAGGTAGGTGTCATAGTTTTGTGTTATTTAACCTTTATCTTAAATTACTGGTGGGTAGGTGTCATAGTTTTGTGTTATTTAACTTTTATCTTATGATACTGGTAGGTAGGTGTCATAGTTTTGTGTTATTTAACTTTTATCTTATGATACTGGTAGGTAGGTGTCATAGTTTTGTGTTATTTAACTTTTATCTTATGTTACTGGTAGGTAGGTGTCATAGTTTTGTGTTATTTAACCTTTTCTTAAATTACTGGTGGGTAGGTGTCATAGTTTTGTGTTATTTAACCTTTATCTTATGATACTGGTAGGTAGGTGTCATAGTTTTGTGTTATTTAACCTTTATCTTATGATACTGGTAGGTAGGTGTCATAGTTTTGTGTTATTTAACTTTTATCTTATGTTACTGGTAGGTAGGTGTCATAGTTTTGTGTTATTTAACCTTTATCTTAAATTACTGGTGGGTAGGTGTCATAGTTTTGTGTTATTTAACTTTTATCTTATGTTACTGGTAGGTAGGTGTCATAGTTTTGTGTTATTTAACTTTTATCTTATGATACTGGTAGGTAGGTGTCATAGTTTTGTGTTATTTAACTTTTATCTTATGATACTGGTAGGTAGGTGTCATAGTTTTGTGTTATTTAACTTTTATCTTATGATACTGGTAGGTAGGTGTCATAGTTTTGTGTTATTTAACTTTTATCTTATGATACTGGTAGGTAGGTGTCATAGTTTTGTGTTATTTAACTTTTATCTTATGTTACTGGTAGGTAGGTGTCATAGTTTTGTGTTATTTAACCTTTATCTTATGATACTGGTAGGTAGGTATCATAGTTTTGTGTTATTTAACCTTTATCTTATGTTACTGGTAGGTAGGTGTCACAGTTTTGTGTTATTTAACCTTAATCTTATGTTACTGGTAGGTAGGTGTCATAGTTTTGTGTTATTTAACCTTTATCTTATGTTACTGGTAGTTAGGTGTCATAGTTTTGTGTTATTTAACCTTTATCTTATGTTACTGGTAGGTAGGTGTCATAGTTTTGTGTTTTTTAACCTTTATCTTATGTTACTGGTAGGTAGGTGTCATAGTTTTGTGTTATTTATTTAACCTTTATCTTATATTACTGGTAAGTAGGTGTCATAGTTTTGTGTTATTTAACCTTTATCTTATGTTACTGGTAGTTAGGTGTCATAGTTTTGTGTTATTTAACCTTTATCTTATATTACTGGTAGTTAGGTGTCATAGTTTTGTGTTATTTAACCTTTATCTTATATTACTGGTAGGTAGGTGTCATAGTTTTGTGTTACTAAACCTTTATCTTTTGTATTATTTCCTATGTAGATGTTATAGTTTTGTGTTATTAAAACTTTATCTTATTTTATTGGTATTTTTATTATTCCAAGATTGCTGCGGTAACGATTAATATCGTTTTGAGCTGATACAAGCATTGTTTTGAGTGGAATTTTGATAATATTTGCTATCAGCGCATATTCAGTCTTTTTATCATGTCTGATGATGAAAACCAGACCAGTAGTATTAGTGATTCGGAATCTGCCAGCAAATGCAGTGCTGAAAATGATAATTCCTGGATAAGTAGAGATTCACCTGTGAATGTTATCGCCATATCGCAACTGAAAGTAGAGACAATGATGATATACTTGATGACGGAGGTGATGTTGGTACATTTGACGAAAGAAGTGGGTGTGGCACATGAGACCAGAATGTTTCTACAGCTGAAATTGGTATTTGTAAATGGAGAAAGGCTACTCAAAATGAACTTGTTAAGTTTGACAATCATCCTCCATACAAAGAACAACAAGGTGGCATGTCAATCACAATTGGGTGTGTGCCGATTGCATTTTTTTTTTTTAAAGATACTTAAAAAGGCAGATCATCCTGTTTTATGTGACAAAAAATAAAGGCATATTGGCCATTTCCTGACATGACACTAAGAGAGTTCACCTGATAACTGCTGTTTACTGCAGCGTGGACAAGACAGTTAGGAAAAGTGGAACTCTTGAGGGCAGAATAATAAATAAGCAAGTTCTTGCAGAAAAATACAACAGCAGTTTGGGTGTTGATCACTTGGGCCAGCTGGGTGTAGACTATCCCTACCCACCTCGATCCTATAACTGTTACCTGCTGTTATATTATTTATTTATTTGTAGTTGACACCACTCTGGTCAATGAGCATATAAGCTACAGCACTGCCAACCCTGTGTATAAGGTCACAGCAAAGAAGTTCGGGCAGGATGTCAGTCTTGCTCTTACTAGACCTTCTGTTCTTCGGCACAGTGTAACCCCTTCCTTACCACATATCACAGCTTACTGAGGGCCATTGTTTTTTGTGGGTTTTTTTTTAAATATAAAAACTACGGTACAAACCAGACTGTAAAGTGTGTAAGGCTGCAAGAAAAAGAAGCCAGACTTGCATGTTCTGCCCAGATTGCAATACACCTTTATGCTTGACACTCTGTTTCAAGCTATACCGCACAGTTAAGGATTATCAACATTCCTGACAAACACAGAGGGCTACTGCTACAACTTCAACTCCACTTAATGAAGAAAGTAGCTCAGACTTCAACTAGGGGTGCTTTTATAATCAAGCGTTCACAGATGCTCATTGTAACGTGACAAATAAACACAACAAACGAAAAAAGATGTTTTCTCACTTTATTCACATTTTTATTTGCTTTTAATGCTAAAATATTTGGTCAATTATTAAATCATTGTTCCTATAAAGCTAATTTTATTCATCACCAACCATGACCTAAACATTTTATGACACTGACATTGAAGAAGTTGCCTAAGAACTGGAAACAAGATTCTAGTTTTAAAACACCTCCTGAAATGTTTATAAGTAGCCAAACAAATTTAAGATGGCCACCATGATCACATGACATATTTGCATAATAAATCTTTTTCTTTTTAGCAACCAATAATAATGATGCCCTGGAGATTTCCAAAGCCTTCAATAGTTTTTGAATTTTTTATGAATTTTATTAGAAAACCAGTCATTTTGAAAAAAAACTTCTAACACTTGGAAATGGGAGACAGTAATGATCCTGGGACTGCTGGTCAGAAAAGTGTTAAGCCCCTTCCTCCTTCTCGCCCTACCTCCCCCAAATAATTTTAAGTGGGGGGGGGGGGGGCCTCAAATTGTTTAATTCCTGTTTAATTGTGCTGTAATTATTATTATTGTTGTGGAGTTTAACCGATTGTGCCCCTCTCCCAGTCTTAACTGTTAGGGGGATTTGTCCCCACATCCATGTTATTTCTGTAGTGGTACACCTATTGAGCACATTAAGTGAAGGGGAAACTGGGTTATGTTGTGACAACAGGACACTTAGAGCTGGGGGAAAAAGAAAGTGGAAGCCAAAGATTGCAGAAAATGATTGCCAGAAGAGATAGACACGAATACCAACACCACCTAAGACAGGTTTTAGGAAGAAAGTATTGTTTTCTTTTGTGAAATATTATATTATCTTACCGTGTAGTTTTCTAAGGCTGTGTTAATCAGTGGTTATTGTCTAAAATAAGTCTGTTTCTTCTGTTCTTTAGGTTTTAGGAAATGCAAGACTGTTTCTGGAAAACATAATAAAGTAAGCATTGTTGTGTTTTTTTTTTTCAGTTGCGTGTTGTCTGTGTGTATGCATGTTGTCTGTGTGTATGCCTGTTGTCTGTCTGTGTGTATGCCTGTTGTCTGTGTGTATGCCTGTTGTCTGTCTGTGTGTATGCCTGTTGTCTGTGTGTATGCCTGTTGTCTGTGTGTATGCCTGTTTGTATGTATGCCTGTTGTTTGTGTAACCACTGAATAGTTAGTGTCCTCCATCTTCTGCTCTTCATCTCGGCAGGGCAGACCAGGTCCTTAGCCTTGGTTGGCAGCTGGTCTAGGAGGGACACTTTGATAGGTGGACGTATAGACACTGCTCGTCTGACTCAGCAGCTATGTTTCCAAACACATTAGTGTTACCTTTCATATGTAGTTACCAAAACTGGCCTATAGAGGGATCATGCTGCATAGACAACACATGGTCTTTACAGTACTACCCGGGCTTTCTTCTGTGGAGAGCAGAAATGTCATTCCAAGCCCTAATTGGTACCTGTATGGGCTGTATTTCTCATGCCTTTCTATAGCATATGGACCAGTATCAGCTGAACAGAGGGAAAGATGCCAGTGTCCAAGACACCAAGACTTTAAAGATTTGTTTTTGGGTGGCAGGATTATTCAGCTGACATTTTCTGTCTAGAATGTCTCCTAGATGTCTCCTCTGTGTTTCTTGCTTTTTGTTTCACTGCCTGTCTCGCTGTATATCTGTCTCTGTCGGTTGATCTGACTGTCTATGTCTCTCTGTATCGGTCTGTCTTTGTCTATCTCTCTCTCTTTCTCACCCCCCTCCCCCCCCCCCAGTTCTCATATATATATGAGAGAGAGAAACTCTACTTTTATAATTTTGACTGTATGTTCCAGGTATGGTATCCTGATCAACCTGTCATTTACTGAGTGGTTCTTTGATGAGCCCTACAACTGGCCTAATCTGGCCCTGACATTATGTAAGTAGCCCCATCTGATTTGTATTCCTAACTCTGTCATTTGGCTAAATTCTTCTTCGTACTCACCTTTCAAATGGCCATTAGCACATTGCGTTTTGGTTATTGCTAGGCTACTTTATCTGCACCATTTGGCCTAACACATCTGATTTAATCAAATCCCTAATTATTCATTCATGCTTTGTGAAAGGCGGGATTGGGAGGGGGGGGGGGTGCATGGCATAATACATTGATCTGGTTTTATTAAATTGGTACCCCATGTTCTCTGGGAAACTGAAGGGGGCCGGCATAATGCTTAACCTCATAGGGTCACTCAGAGGCAGAACTAGTGTCATTCAGCAGTCAGAAATATGTTAATTCAGGCATCAGAACTATGATCATTCAGGCATCAGAACTATGATCATTCAGGCATCAGAACTATGATCATTCAGGCATCAGAACTATGATCATTCAGGCATCAGAACTATGATCATTCAGGCATCAGAACTAAGTTCATTCAGGCATTAGAACCAAGGTCATTCATGCAGCAGAACTAGGTTCTTTCAGAGATCAGAACTAGGTTCATTCAGACACCAGAACTCTTAGCTTGACACAGTGTTCCTATTATTTCCCAGTGGATCATGACTGGGCGAATGGTACTTCTGATAATTCTTCAGTGGTTTTGAATGTGCTCATATGGTTGTCATGTGTCATTTAGTTGTCTGCCTCAGCAACTGGAATCAGTTTTTTTATCATTTCTTTGACTGTATCAGTCATTGCCATCAGTTTCTCGTAATTTTTTTCATCTGTATAAGCCATTGCCATCAGTTTATTGTTGTTGCCATTGCCCTTTGTTTATTATCATTTCTTTCACTGTATCATCCATAGCTATCACTTCAACATCATGTTGTTTGTTTCTCATAGCTATAACTTCAACATCATGTTGTTTGTTTCAGCTCTCGCCATATACCCAGCTATTGCTTTAGCAACAGAAAAGGCATTAGCAAAGGTAAGACTGTATGACATTTGTTTTCTTAAATGAAACTTGTACTTTTGCCTACACTTTTGAATTTACAGACATGGACACACACTCTCACAATTGTTTATACACTCTAACATTTACACACATGCATTTTCCTTGACTGTCTGTTCGTATATGGGTTTGTCTGTCTGTCTCTTCTCTTTCTCTGTCTTTTTCTGTTTCTCTATGTGTCTCACTATTTCTTTTACAACTGTTTACACACTCACACATTTACACATGTGCATTTTTTTTCTGTTTGTCTGTATACATGTGTGTGTGTGTGTGTCTCTCTTTCTATTTCTCTGTCTTGCTTTCTCTCTCTCCCCCCCCCCCCCCCCCCCCCCCACCCACTCAAGCCAATAGTGGAAATGAAATCTATATTAATAAAAACTCTGAAACTACTGAACCGATTGCTTTCAAATTTGCACACAACGTTGCCTTTGACTCCAAGCGTTATTTTTTTGTCAGAAAATCGCACAAACCACGGACGACGTCGCTCCAGCAACAGTCAAATCATTATTTGTTTTGTTGGCGGCCCAGATTTGTTTTTAGTTAATTGGCTATATTTGACTGCTGAGCTCTTATTGAACTTTGCATTATTATATAATTTCATTTCCACTATCTGCTTGAGTGTTTGTTAGCGTAGTTGATAGCTATTCTGTCTGTCATGCAGGTGACCCGCGTTCGATTTCCCGCTCGGTAATATAATTTATTTTTAGCCCTTAACTGGGCGGCTGGCACGTTGTGTTGTGGTTTATGGCTAGACTGCGATATCTACGCCTTTTTCGGTTTTGGTATTTACAGCTAGCCTGCAACAGCGGCGACGTGATGCTCAATGGTCATGTCACGGGTAATCTTCGTTCGCCCTCGAGAGGGCCGTTGGCATGTTGTGTTGTGGTTTACAGCTAGGCTGCGATATCTGACCTAAACTCTTCAGTCGTCGGTAGTATAGTTGTAAGTATGTAATCTTTCACGCGGGTGACCGGTGTTTGATTCCCCACTGTGTGATAATTGTTCTTTTTCCCTTAAAAGGGTAGTTGCCACGTCGTGTTGTGGTTTACAGCTAGGCTGCGATATCTGCACCTTTAACCCAAAGACATCCGATTTCAGTTAAATCCTAATTTGCCTCCCCGCGACGCTTCTCGATCAAAAATTATTCGGCGATGACAGAAACTGTTAACTAAGACGGCTTACAATCCAGTTTAGTTTGAGTGGACACAGATGCCAAGGTCAATTAAAATTCGTTCCCTTGGAGAGGGAGAGATGACGGGTGCGGGGTATTTTTCTCCGCTATTCGTGAGTATAGTGTACTTTTCACTGTGGGTTCCATCACTGCTTACGTGATGAAGTTTTTTTTCTTCCTATGTCGGGGCAAAATTAAACTAAATAGTCCGTGGCGACAGCATGCGGCGCTAACTCCTCCTTTTCTACACCGACCTACACAGACTGTAGTGACTGTTGTTGTTGTTGTGATGGTGGTGGTGGTAGTGGTTGCAGTAGTACTGGTACTGGATGGGTGATGTGGTAGCTGTTACACTGGCTACATTTACTTCTCTGTACAAGTTAATGCTACCTATTTAAGTCTGGGTGGACACGTATGCCAAGCTCAATTTAGTTACAATATTTCGTTACACGGTGACTTTCCCATCCTTCGGAGAAGAGGGGGTAGGGATAATGCCAGACACAGTTAGCTGAGAGAGCTTAAAATATTATTTTAAAGTTCTCATTTCTTAACTATTTCTATTTTAATAATTTCGCCATGGATGATTTTTCAGTCCTTCGGAGATGGAGATATGACTTCGCCGGTGATGATTTTTCAATCTTTCAGAGAGGGAGATATGATTGGGGGACAGGGGGGTTATGCCAGACACCATTAGCTGAGAGAGTTTGAAATATTATTTTAATTTTCTCATTTCTTAACTATTTCTGTTTTAATAATTTCGCCAGGTGATGATTTTTGAATCCTACGGAGAGGAAGATATGATTGGTGGAAAAGAGGGGGGGGGGTTTATGCCAAACACCGTTAGCTGATAGAGCTTAAAATATTATTTTAAAGTTCTAATTTCTTAACTATTTCTATTTTAATAATTTCGCCATGGATGATTTTTCAATCCTTCGGAGAGGGAGATATGACTGCTTCGAGGGGGATGACAGACAGACACTGTTAGCTGAGAGCTATTTTCTTTCCTCTCCATTTCACCATTCTGTGCCACAGCAACGCGTGGACGGGTACAGCTAGTTATATAATAATGCAAAGTTCAATAAGAGCTCAGCAGTCGAATATGGCCAATGGACTAAAAACAAATCTGGGCCGGCAACGAAACAAAAAATGATTTGACCATTGCTGGAGCTATGTCGTTCGTGGTTTGTTATATTTTCTTACAAAAAAATCACGCTTGGAGTCAAAGGCAATGTTGTGTGCAAATTTGAAAGCAATTGGTTCAGTAGTTTCCGAGTGTTTAGCTAACAACATCGGAAAATTAACATTTTTTAAATATAGATTAACAGTTTGTGGTTCAGCACTAGATGGATGGCACTGGCTATTGTTGTTTCATATGGTTATATAATGTGTTCAGTGTTGTCTGTCAGTTTTCTCTGTGGCTGCCTTCTCGCTCTCGTTTCAGTTTTTTTTTTTAGGTGTAATGCCCGTGTTGCTAGTTGTTGTTGCTGCATAGGTCAGCTTTACCAAATTAAAATAAAGGATGTTTCAGTGACAAGCATTCATCAACAACACAAGAACAACTAAACACTAACAATGGAAAATTACTGAAATAATTATGTTTCAGCGAATTTTGTATCATGAAAATGTGTGAAACAAAAAATACATATATACATTGGTAGTTTTATTACCATGTGGTTGGATGGATAGATATGTGGTTGGATGAATAGATATGTGGGCGGATGAATGGGTAAATAAATGGGTGGATACACATTGGCTTATCGAATCCACATGAATGCCATCTTTCTGTTTTGAATCTTGTTTTCTTAGAATATAGAGTTCTTTTCTGCAAACGTTATCTAGTTCATCTCCTCTACTCCTTATCTTCAAGGCTGTATTCTAAGAGCACAAATGTAGTCTAAGAACGCAAATGTAGTCTAAGAACACAAATGTAGACTAAGAACACAAAAGTAATCAATTTGCTTAGTTAAGACATTCTGGTCTGAGTGAAAACTTTATCGTAAAATCATTTTCCATGTCAGGGAGAGCTGTTTACTTTTGTGGCCCTGATAAGAGTTGTCGTTCTTGACCTCAATGTAAAATATCTGCTGGGCTTACTTCAGTTTCTTACTGATAAGAAATTTCTTATCAGACAGAAAAAAGACAACTATGAGCACGCATTTATCCATAACTATGAGAAAATTCTACTTCCTCATTTGCAGCATCACTGCTGTGTTAGTGATTCCATTAAAACTAATTCAGGCTCATGTACTTTCATACAGTTTTTTGATGACTGAAATTTGGATGATGCTTTATTCGTTTATGTTAATCAATGTAAGTGGGGAGCGCACGTAATACTTAAATCAAATAAATGATTTTCGTGGGCATGAATGTTTCAGCACAAGGTGTTTCATCAATCAGCAGGTCTTTTACAGAACGTCGCTGTCTCCTCACGGAGAAAGTATCCCTTTCCCTAGCCAGCTCTCTGGCCCCATGTGCTTTCAGTGCCAATGCATCTTCAAAGTCTTGTATCCATCTTCACGGTGGCCGACCCCTGCCTCGCCTTCCACAAACTGCACCTTCCATCACAAGGTGTCAGGAAGCCTAAATACCCACACCTGTTGGCCAGACACTAAATTATGACCACAACCTAGCTATTACCCAGAGAGTTTAACATATCTTTCACAGAAATGCATGTTAATTTGTGTTGTTGTTGGCTGTCCAGACATAACTTTTTAATCTGGTTAAACAGGGTTTTAGTTTTGTTCTCCTGGTGGATTAACATACGAACAAACTTTAGCTCCTTGAGTCACCGGGTGTCAGACTTTCAGGTTGCTGTACAGGAAGGGAAATTGTTTAAAAAACATCCCAAGCCTTTTAAAGATAAACTATTTTTAATCCCAAGTTATTTGAAGAACGATTATTGGAATAATAAATCTCTGGTATCTGTTTCATGGAGATAACCAGAGCCCAGCATAACGACTGGCTAGGATTAATTGGCCAAGGACAGTGACCTTCAGAAGCAAACCATTGTGGAACCTTTCACTTGATTTCCCACCTGATGACTCTAGCCCCACCTGATCACTCTGGCCCCACCTGATCACTCTAGCCCCACCTAATCACTCTGGCCCCACCTAATCACTCTTTTACACCTGTCATTCAGCTCATATCAGTAGGCTGTGTGTGGCAAGCGAGAGGGATAAGGGTGCACTAAATGTTTTCCCGAGACTCAGCTGCATAAAAGATGCAGAAGTAGCATGGCCTTGGATGACTCCACTGAAAACAAATTATCCAGTTGGACTTGTTCTGCTGGGGTCATTGCCTCCATTCTGTAAGAGGTAATATGTATGGTACTGGGAGCAGCGATAGTGCCGGTGCGATGGCAAAGCACTTGAATCCCCGCCAGAAGGTCTTGTATTCAAATCCGCTTTGAAACAGATTTATGGGAAATAACTCTTTCAACCCTGTAAAACTCTTTTTTTTTTTTTTTAAATTACCTTTTTTCAAATTTTGTTACACATTTTTCAAAATAATTTTCAGAAACCACACCCCAGGAAAATAGACGAAAAGATGAAGTAGAAAAAATGATAGAGTCTTGGTCAATTGTTATAAATATTCAGGGGGTTAAACGCCAAGACGCTGGTGAAAATGGGCAGGTGCGAGCCTGTCACCAGATTCAAAAGGAACCGAGAATTGACTGGTCTCCTGAAATTTGACTGTTTACAAGTGGTTTTGCTGACTTTGCCACAGAGAGTATATTTAATGAAATTATATGAAGTCACAATGGATCCACAATTTTAAACATATTTTTTTCTCCCGACGCATATAC